CAGACCAACCATGAGACTGATGAACATTTGTACCAATATTAAGGGTTCTTGATAAAAAATAGTACTTATTACATCTCCCCAGAGCCCCTCCCACTTCACACTCACAAGAGCTTCCACAGTGCCAAGATCTTTGATTTTGTTGCCACTTAGATTTAGATATGTGAGATTAGGACATCTCTCTGCAAGGACCTCCAGGCCTCCAGAAATGACGTTGTCGCTCAACTCCAGCTATTGTACAGAAAAAAAGGAATTAATAATTAGATTTTCAGTCTTAGATTCAGCTGCATTGCTGATAATTGTTCTCCCTTTAAGAATGTAATCACTTTTGAAGATTCACCCAAGGTAACAAACTTTGTCCGTCAAAAAGTTCCTCTACAGATTAAAAACTGTTTCTTGAAGTCTCATGGGTTTGGGCACCGCAGTTTTAAGCTACCAGGACTGGAGTTCACTACCAGCAATGAGTGACCCAAGGGCGTCCCACCAAGGCACCCTGCTCAGCAAGGCACAGCTGGACCTTCACCATGTCCACAGCCAAGCAGTTACTGCCCCAAGAGGTGCTGGCCAAGCCCAACTCACCACAGTGAACTGGAGATGCCCAGAACAGTTTCAGTTTTCAAAAACACCTCTCAGAGGCACGTGAAGCACCTTCAGCACCACGCAAGCCCGACCACGAGTGCCACAAGGTGCGACCACAGCTTGCCCCCCCTGACTCTGCCATCCCAAAGCACTGGCAGGCAGGAGATACCCACCTTCCGCAGCTTACTCAGCGTGGGGAGCTTGGCCAGCGACGTCAGCTCAACGTTGGCCATGCTGAGAAACTGGAGCTCCTTAAATGAGTCATTGAGCCCTTCGATTTCTCCGTTGCTGGACCGGCAGTTATCGAGCACCAACTCTGTCACCTGCAAAGAGGCCAGTGAGGCACGTGTGGGTGCCACAGCAGCGAACTCCCGCCCTCACCTGAACCCCACCCCAGAGACCGGGCACTGGCTGCTGGTTTGGGGCTTCATTTAAAATCAGAGCAGTCTTCTGCCCAGAAATCAGCGACACCCACCCAATTTAAAAATTATGCAGCAACTTCCCTTCCTCTAAGCACGCATTAAACTCTGCAAAAACTACCACCTGACCCCAAAACTCCATCGATGGACTGGTACAGCTGCTCTGGCTCCCCACAGAACCTCTGCAGCCAGGACACATCAGCTGCCCTGTACGCAACTGCTGACTTCTCAGATCTCATCATTTAACTGTGCATAACCAAACTCATAAAACCAGTTTCTCTCTGAACCTAAAACCTTTTGACTCCATATTATTTTCCCAGAGAGTCCTGGAGGTTAATTGAGCCCGAATAAATAATTTCCTTGTGCCCAAGACACTCGATAATCAATATAGGTCGTGTACTTGGAGAAGCAGCAATAAGAAGCAACCAATTAATTTCAAATTACTTTATCTAGAGTGGAGTGTCCACTTGATAAAGGACAGGAACAAGGTGACTCCTTCCTTTCCCCAAACACTAACAAAATTTTAGGAGTGCTGCAGACCCCAAGCAGCACGAAGCCAGCTTCCCACTATTACTTTATTTTTTTCATTGAAAGACCACCATTATTGCACACCGACACGGAATTGTAAGGCGAGCCGCTGGGGAGAAAGGGAGGTTCCCAGCTTCGTACCCGGCAGCTGCACGCCGGCAGCGCGAGGAGGCCTCTCCGGGTGCCGGCCTCCCGCAAACACGGCTGCGTGGGTTAAAACAACAATTTCGGGCAGCTTTTCCCCCCCAAACCCACGTGCGCCAGGTCAGGGAAAGCGAGGGGCTCTGGACTTTTCTCTCGGGGCGGACCAGGCGCCGGTTCCTCCGCGGGAAGGGGGAAGCGAAGCTCCGGAGCCAGCGCGGGGCCCCGCCGCGCACGTGCGCTCCCGCCTTGCCAGGGCTTCGGGGCTTGCTTTTTTGCTTTTTTTTCCCGGTTCTTTCCAAAGAAATGGAAAGTTGGAAGCGCGGGGGTACGCGGGAAGGGTACGGAGAACCCACGGCACGCCCGGCGGGGCGGCGGGCGCGGGAAACAACGTTAATTATATTAATTAAAGGCGCCGGGATGAACGACGGGCCGCGACCGGGGCCGCCGCCGTGACCTGTTTACTGCAGCCGGGGGAAGCGGCGGATTAACGTCGAGGGAAGCCGAGGCCGCCGCACCCCCCGGGAACTTCGGGGCACCCCGAGAGAGGAGGTGGAGGGGGAGTGCGGGGGGGCCGCGGGTCCCGGGGCCGCGCCGGAAGCGCCGCCCGCG